TGCCCTCTGCTGCTTCTAGCTGTAGTCCACAATCAGCTGATTACTGGCAATGTGCTTTAAGCTCAAAGCCTCATATTTAAAGGCATTTATTAAAGGTCAAACAAGCCACTAATTGTTCTGGTTCCAAACGATCACATGTAAATCTGATTTATATTAAACACGAGACGTCACACGTGTCATATATGTGTATTGTACATCGGCACACATGCAGTATTGTCATGTTGCCCAGCTAGGAATGAACCGGAGTCAAATAACACGTAACCTGTGGCAGCTTGATGTGTGATGAAGGCTTTTTTTTAACCTAAATTTACTCTATGACAGGAATTAGTCATTATCAGGTTATTGTTTGATATGTTTGTTCCAACTTATGACCTTTGTTTAATAACCTGCTCTCTTTTTAGTGTGTTATATGAGGCCACAAGCTTGCAGTTCGGTGGTGTACTGTGATCTGAGTATGGGTGAGTAAAAGGTTCATTGGGTTTGTGAACACATGTTGAGCTACCTGGTGACTGTACTGATGAGCAGAGTGTCTTTGAGTTCTCAGTCTGATCTTGTTTCAAAAGACCAAGATGACGATGGACAAATAGTCCACAAATCAATGAGCGTCATGAACGTGGCTACATCCATCTTTTGTGTTCAGTGTGTGGCGTGTAACATCACAGCACCAACCCTGTGGGAGGCCGGTGCATTTAGGTTTGCGCCCTAAGCACAACGTCACACAGCTGCTAGTGACGGGGTGCAGTATGAGTACCGACGAACTTCCTCTTCCAGTTTTTAATTCATTTATTTTTAACTTTTGCTGTACAAAATGTATTTCCGTGGACAAGTTCAACACAGATTTAACACTTAGTCATGAAAGAAGCTGGAGTTCAGATACGGATACGCTGAATACTGAGGGTGCTGAAGAGTAAAATATTGAGTGTCGTCTCCGTATGAGCACAAGGTCTGAGCATGAATCCAGCCCAAGACGTATTAGGTGTCAGATGAGTCAGACGAGTGGCTAAAGCTGAACATGAACCAGTCCGATTTTCTCTTTCTGGCTGTACAGGTAAAGCAAACCAGGGTAGACATGGAGCAGCTCTGCAGCCTGATCCAGCATCGACAATTTAATGAGCAGCAAATAGAAATAAATTGACTTACTGTTTGTGATTAAAATGATATGATACTTTGGTATGCCTTTCCTCCCATAACAAAGCAATTCCTTTAACTCAGCAGAGTGTGAAGACGATTTTGAACCAATGGAACTATGTGTGCCTCAGTGCCTTGAGAGCAGTAATGAAGGTATTTGTTCTGTATGAATGGTGCACACACTTTTTTGACATGTATTGATCAAGTGTAGCTTTGTGTTTCTTAGTTTGACTGTAGTTGTTTAAGTGTGTGGCATAAATGTCATCGTATCTGCAAGTTTGACTGTGGCCACTCGAGTGTCATCCAGAAGTAGTTGTGAAAGAAGCGGACAGCAAAAAAGTGATTCAACCTGATGTCGCTGTTTGAATCTTGGTTGCTGTGCGCCTCTTTAGCTCTGCTCCTGTAATTGCAAACTGATCCAAATATAAATTTAAAAAAGAAATCTGGCTGTGAATGCTACTGTAAGCATTTTCTTTCATATCTAACACCAAATGTTTTAAACCGCTGTCGTCAAGATTTCTTCTTTTAAATGATAAATACTCTGTCC